GGTCCGATTTAGGGTGCGCACGATCGATCGATCTAATATTGGAGCATCGGAATCTGCATAGCATCCAATTCAACAGTGCAGCTCAACATGGCACCACTTGTTAGTGAGAAGCGATTGGCTGGGAATATACAAGATCGGACACAACCTCCTCAATTGATAGTGCAATAACGTCGTAGGACATGAGGCTCTTTTGTACATATACATGTGTAGATAGATCTTGTAGTAGTTCTCTCCTTAGAATTATTATCTACTACCATCAACCACATAGTTGCTCCAGCACCTGTCCTAGAATCCGTGACAGTCTCAACCTGGAATCCTTCAATCCTAAACTGTTATAAAGCTAAGAGCTCACGGAGGTTTATTGGCAGAAGGTTTACAGATGATTACTTATGAATGCTGGAAATGGAGACATAGAGTATTGTTGATGTACGGGCCCTCGATTTTGTCTCGGTTGCTAACACAATCTTATGTGTATTTCAAAGGTTGGAATGGGTAATATGGTAGCTCTTCAGGCTACTATATGGAGAAATTAGCGGCTGTATAGCGTGGGCGCAAGGAGGTTATTGGGGGTTTTCTATGCCTAGATGGCGCAACACTCGTTTACGCTGTGTGTTGTGATGGGCATGTTATACAGCTAGGATACATGCATGTAGATAACGTGATTAGATGCTTACGCTGTTTGTGTAGTTCCTGTATCATTTGGGATATCTGTAGGAGGAAGCTCATGTGGTCAGGAGCCGACTAGCGGCCGCACATGAGTATAAGGAGCGAGTGCTCGGCACACAATTAGTATGGAACAATTAATATACAGTGAACCTCAGATACACCTTCAACCACAACCTGAACTCATCGATCTACAGACTTGTACAAGGTCAGCATGCATAGTTATACTAACCTAAGCTCATAACCACAATACTGTGGCATAGGCTATGTGTTGCTTACAATTTTACTTGTAACACACACTTCCCACACTTTTAGCTGTTATCTGAACATGACAATCTTTTAGTCAACCTACACTTTTGTTCCATAACTATTGCGCCCAGTTCATTGCGCAATATTTCCAACAATGAATGAACTTGAACTGCTGATATTCTTGATATACAGAACCATGAGGATAAAGGAGGTAGAAAGTACTACTTTTATAAATATCTGACGTAGCCAGACCCTGGCCTTATTTTAAAAAAATTAAATCACGGAATATTCTAGTATCCTCCATCTTGTAGTATTATATAGAAACACTTTCCATAACGTGTTTCATTATTCCTATACTCATTATGGAATTACCTGGAAAGTTCTTCCTTCACCCTCAGTGATCACTACCCTTAGGCATTGTAATCTTTGACATCACAACCATAATACAACTTCCTGGTACTTTGTCAGCTTAATTAGTGTTAGAAAATGAAGTTTAATCTTATTAGTAACAACTACCATCATTATGTAAGGGATCCCAACGCAATCCCTATATCCAGTATTCACACTCTAGTCCTGCTTCCCCTGTAAGATTTGTATAAACATGTACTAGTGTGACTCCGCTTCTTTGACAAGAGAACACAACTTTGTTATTGTTATGAGCTTGAGCAAAGATGGAGGTTTGAACGGAATCTGTGTCGGCGGTTAGAGCGATGCAGTAAGTCTTGTATGAGGTTGCGAGAAGAAGATCCGAGTGGAAACAATTGTATTTAGATGTGTAGTTCAGAGTAAAACCGAGATGATAAGAGTGAGATTGCGTGTTGGCATATCTTATCAACTGTGTTTTTTGACCAGTATTTATCAATCTCCATGGATCGTAAGTGATGATCCCTGTAGATGTAGATCTATGTACACACACATTTATTGGCCAGTAATAAAAAGAAATAAGTTATTCTTGGCATTCCAAGATATATCATATTTCAACAAGTGTAAATGATTGCTCTTTTCATATAGACTGATTTACTTAATTATATTTTTGCTATGTTTTTTATTGTCTTGATTGATGCCCCACATGTAAACAAATAATCAATTCACTCTTCTCCACTCTACTTTAAGTGATCATCTACTTACTTCAAAAGATTATGAGACCAAAGCTCTAACCAACTGAGCTAAGACTGCATCAACTCCTTCATATGAGACAGAAATTTTTCTGCTCATTCTACTCTTTTCCCCTTTTCGAGACAGAACTGGTTTCTGATCAACCTTTAAACTTACACCTCATCGCCCACCATTGCATATTCTCTTACGAGTGCCCTTCATCGTGTCTACTGCCAAGATTCTCAAGCACTGTAAGAATGCTCTCGAGCTAAGTAAGGAGACTTATCTAAGATGTTGTCGAATATTTCAAACAAGTTTAAAACCCCATAATGCCCAAGAATATATTTTGAGGAAAGTTCCTGATCTAATTCCTGCCAATGAAAATTCTACTTCCAAAATGTCCCCTCAGCAACTTATCGACAACAACATGAAGCCAGCGCCCCTCCAGCTAGTTCTAGAAGATGTTTACTGCGTCATTGAAGCCTTACCTACGGCTTTTCAAATTTGGAACGCAATTGTAGCTTAACAGCAAAGTTTACGTAGATGGGCTGATTTAGATTTTTAGATAATTAAATTCAAATTAGGCGCTGAAGTCGAGAAGTGCACAAGTAAGTTGACAAAACTGCAATCTAAGATTGCGTTTGTAGACCCATCCAAGCGTCTTTCTGGTTTATTGAAAAGGAATCGCCTCATAGATCATTTTGAAACTGAATGCAACAGCTTCCACATAGGAGCAGTATCATTTATTGTCGGAAATCTAGACTTAGTATATATGAAGGTTTAGATTTCTAAGTATGATCATCAAGATCAATTGAATTGATCCGATTGCATGTGATAGAGCTAAGCTAGGTGACATGAGGTTCATTGATATTTTTAATTCAGTGGCTAGGGAATGCTACCTTGCGATAATTGAGTGGCTGATTGTTGCTAGATGTAAGGATTCCTCTTCCGACCCTTTCTTTAGGATATAATTTTACCTTTCCTCATATGTTGCTATGACAACAGGACAGTTCTTGGCACATGGTATCATGTTGATATTATGTTAAGGTCTATGTTATGATGAGCTAGTGAAAGGAGGGCAGGTATATATACAATGGTTTGGTCTGTAGGCATAGAGTTCTTTACGCTTAGTCTTCTGTCATAACCACCACCTTCGGATCACCTCTGGTCACCTATAGTCACCTCTAGTTACCTTTAGCACCTTTAGTCACCATTAGTATTTGCTCGTACCTTTAGACTCTTTAGACACTTATATTACCCATTTTTAAACCTTTAGTTCTCCAAATAATCTGCAGTAGATCTTAAGTCATCTCTCGCGATCCATCCGACCCCTTCTTGCCATTCTATTCCGCCTCAGGTCAAACGCCTACGCTCCAATTTGACACTAGATCACTGGGAGTTCTATTGTGATTATGAGGAGGGGAATTGCACACAAACAGTGGCTTTATCAATGTTTGCTTGACACTGTTATGAAGTGGACGATGATATACGTTCGCTTTATTAGATTTGTTTCCTGATGATTGCTGTCTATATGAAGGAGAATACTCCTATTTATACCTAAAGCTCATCTATCTAATTTCTAGTAGAATATTCCATCATATTCTGTAGAATAGTTTACATTCCTGTTGTCAGGCTCGTTGGCTAGTTCGGAGGTCAAGGGTCGGAACAGGACGGAGTCGGGACGGATGTAGTCGGGACGGAATGTGATCGGAACAGGATGTGATCGGAACAGGATGTGATCGGAACGGGACGAGGGCGAGACAAGACGGAGACGGAACGTGACGGAGGCGGAACGGGACGGAGGCGGAACGGGACGGAGGCGGAACGGGACGGAGGCGGAACGGGACGGAGGCGGAACGGGACGGAGGCGGAACGGGACGGAGGCGGAACGTGACGGAGGCGGAACGGGACAGAGTCGGGGTATAAGGTAAAGCTTATAATAATCGGATCAATCTAAAGTCTAGAATAATTACAAGACAAAAAGCTACAGAACAAATCCAGTCCTAGACCTTCCTTAAGTACTCAAGAGCGGCTACTACAATCAGGGGTATGGTAGTCTACAGCTATAACACAGCAACTGATTGCTTATGTTGATTAGTAACTGTTGCTATCATAACATTGTAACCATCGCAACGCATTGACTATGTTACTAGGGAAGCTCCTGACTTGGTTGACCAGACTAAGCGCAGCATCTCAGCATTAGCCCATGGCACAATGGTAGTGACAAGCAGGCCGTTTTCCTCGTGGGGAAAGCCGGTCTGTGACACCTGTTCTAATCATCCACATGCAATTGTTATCATGTCACTACACCAACCACATATTGTATAGATCTCTATATCATCTAATACAGCTTGTCTAATTGTCTGAGTGTTTTCACATCATAACACTTATACTAGATAATTGAGAGGCTGGTCGATGTTTGAGTTGCCATAATTGTGGCTAGTAATATTCGAACATTATAACGTTCCATGTCAATGCGAATCTTCATTACCAAGTAGCACCAATTTCAACTAGATTTGCTCTTCTTATCGCATAAAACACTTATTTATCCCGACCCATCCAGATCCTGATATTCCCTTTATACATTCCGTGATAAGTGAAGACAAGCGAGGGAGACATGTAGAAGAGCATTTATTTTGCATTTAAATGTCATCAATCAATTATTCTAATCTCTCACCTCCTACAGATAGACCCCAACAGCTCACAAGCTTGATCAACCAATAGTACAGGTATATCCCTATCTACTCATAACCCAGCTTCATAAGATAAAGGTCTAAAAATTGAACCATGGTGTCACCAAGCGCCTCAGTGCAATTGATATAACGACATGGAGAGTGCTTGGGACATCTTCAAGTTCAAACCGGGGAGGGGAATGTGTTGGCCGGCAATTTTCTCTACGGTCATTCTCATTTATAGCCCATGATGAGGAAATCAGTCACAAAATTCCGCTTCCAGGTGCCTCCTTGATAAAAATAAGGCCAATGTGGAGCCCGTTATGTTTCATCATGGTAAATACATTGTTCCCAGACGCTATAGGGCTTCTCATAGACTCGGAAGAATGGAGCTAAATCAATTAATTGAAGGATGTAGGCTATGCTGCCTATTTATCAAAAAGAATAGTTAGCGACAGCAGTTTAGGAGGCAGAGATACCTTACTTCCATCATTCCTGTACCGGCGAGATCGACTTGTCTTTAATACCTCGCCGTTGGGACCTAATGGATCGCCAGATAGCGCATTTAATTCATGACAGAATTTTCTTTCATTTTCAGCTTCTGATATGGTGAAGTGGTGGCCTTCACTACATTTGAAATACGGTTCTCCATGCGCAGCAGGCATCAGTACTAGGAGGCCAACCAGTGCGGCCGTGGAGGCAGCACTGAGAAACTTCATTTGGAGAATTTCGTGCTCACAGAAATAGACTCTGGTCTCGACTCGGCAAGCTGCTCGATCTTATGACTGAGCTCCGATGGACGATTAATGATAAGAATTCTTGGTGTTTATGGTGAAATGTGGTGATAATTCTCTGTGACAATATCACTGTGGACGAAGTCAAGGGAGTGTTAATCGACTATCTGGATCATGTATGGAAGATGAACATGGACTCTAATGTAGTTACAATTTTGACAAATCCACTTTGCATATCCATGTGTGCTTTCTAAATTAACTGACGCGGCTTCTTCCGAATCCTGTTGCATGGCAAGCTTTAGCAATTGATTCAATGCGCCCAGCTATGCCATAGGATATTTGACTAGTAGAGTTGCCACGATTTATTTACATAGTGAGTATGAAATCTTGCAGCCGCTATAAATATTGATTCGAATTCTCTGCTTGAGAATTTCTAGGACTAGAGACTATCTTTGTGTACAATCTGAAGTATTCCCCTTCGAGAAAGTTCCCTCTGTGATCCGAGTAACCTAGACTCTCCGACAACTCTTTCGCAGATTCATAATAAGCCTGTCCAATCATGAGGGTCAAGCGTGTTAGCAGAAGGATTTTGGAAATACAGCTTCCTAAATTTCTTTCTGTCATTTAATGCCGTTGCATGCATCTTGCCTGAACTTTATCTCTGAATACAGGCAGAAGCCGATTCTTCTGATCCAATCAGACTCAGCGTTTGAGTCTGCCCAAATCCCATTTTTCCCAAACATGTCCAGTAATGGATTTGTTCCTACTTTCTATGGCATGACTCAGTATTCTGAGACAGTGGATATTACTTTTCTGGTCTGGGATCTCACTTATTTCTGCAGTCGAGTCGCTTCTGGATAACCTCTCTTCCTTGTAATTCCACTATATATATCATAATGCCTATAGTCTATTAGCTAATTAATAGAGGAAGTGCCTCAGAATTAGTAATAAGTAATCTCCAATTATAATTGTGGGTAATGAAGGAAAATGGAAGACTTTAAAGATAAACAAATGTAGAAATGCATTTAAAACGCACAAAGGGCTTGTCCCTCAACTAATATAAGAACAAATTTTGGCATATTTCAAAATTTAATTTCTCAAATGTAATTAGAATCTTTAGTTAGATTCACAAAATCCTCCATAATCTTAGACTCAGTAGGGACTAAGACAAAAAAATATAATCTAAAATCTAATCTATTAGCTAATTAAGTAAACTAAGCTTCTCCGTTCGTAGGCGATTCTTATTCCGGACTTCTCTATATACTCTAACTAAGGTTCAATGAAAATCTTCTAATTTCTCTGCTATTTGAGTCTTTCCCATGAGGTTCACTTGGTGTACTTGCCTGCGCCAGTCAGTGTAGGCTACGGGGCCTCATCGGACTAACAGCAGTTAGAACAATCTTAATTTTACTATCAGAGGTGAGTTAATGTACTTCAGCGGGGAAATGGCTTGGCTACTCTATGCCATCTTCCACATATCATGAAAAACTCTTGATATCACAGGTGTGGCTTGAATTAAAAAATAATAATAGATATGTGGTGTTTGTCGCAACGTCTGGATTAGTATAGACATTTCTCATGGTGCTCCATCTTTCTCGACTTCATGAGCTACACTATTTTATATCCACCACCCGGTACATTCAGCTTAAGAGTTAGATGGTGATTAAACGGCCAATAATCGCCACATAAAGGCAGTGAAAATCATCATGTTATGGTCATTGTCTTGTTCTGGCAGGAAGAGTTTCATTCTTGGTCATCTCATTCAGCTTGATTAAAACTAAGCCAGGCCGGTCAAATCCACGATGAAGTGAAAGAGCCTCATGCAAAAGTACGAGCACTGAACATATTAGATTTGCGCTCCACTAAGCCACATCAAATAGAGTCCTAATCACTTAACCCCTCCAACAATGCAGCGCATGATTCTCTCGGAAATCAGGCTAGTCAAATATTAATTGACTAGATGCTCGTCAAGCGCCATTACTCTTAGCTGAATACACCAGTTTGTGAGCGATATGTTGGCGCGGCCTAGTCACATTTTAGCATCTATTATGTGATGCGCCTAGAAGACTTTCACTTTATTATTACTTGATTTTGATTTCATTCTCCTAATTTAGCGATCTATGCGCCCATGCAGGTGTCTACAATCTGTAACACTTGCACGGGATGAAATCATTATGGTGAGTAGCCCTCATACCTTTCTGCTTGTTGTCTAGAGTTTTCATAAATTTTCGTCAGGAAGCACAGTTACACTATAGTGCCATCCATGTAAGCCAACCAGATCATCTCCAAGCGCCCCAAGCATTACTTGACCTGTTCCTTTTCTTCAGCAGCATTTCGACCGCCTTTGTCATCTGGAATTGCTCTATGCAACCGTGATCTAGGATCCACTGTGTTATCATTTTTATTTATTTTATTTTTATCGTCGCTTCGCAGTACCGATCTTTGGCTCGTCTCCAGATCTCAGCTCTACCATTTGACTATCGGGGGCAGGACATAATCATACGCTTGACGTTCTGTGATTCGTAGCAACATGGACAGCCTGGACTCAATACTCTGGGTTATTTTCTTCGGTGTAAATACGAGTTGAACCCCGCGTGCTCACTTCGTAGCTGCATTGCCAAACTTCTTTGGGCCTTTTTCAGGTTGCGATGTAGAAAGAATGGTGAGCCTTGAAAACTCAGTTTTTGCCGTCCAGATTCTCTACTTTGGTAAAATTTGGCTGCTCTCCAAGTTTCGGGATCTGCAGGTACTAACTGCCGATGTTTCCGAGGAGTTTTTTTTTAATTCATATTGTATTCAGCTATTTAGCTGTGACAAGGCTTGCGAGAGAGTTTCTGCTTGGCCCATGATTTCGCCCACCCTTGGTATGTGTTAAGACATGGAAGCACACTAGTCTAACTGTGGACAATTAAGGGCACGCATGATAATGTTGGGCTCAACATTGTAAGAAAGAGCATTGAGAGACTGGCTCGACCACCGTAGTGCGGAATACATTATTCTTCCCTAGTACCTAGTTAGTAGGAAACATAGGGGGACTATTCTCAACATCTGTCAGTGATATCCCCTACGAACCTCCAGCTCTCACTGTAGAGTCTGCAGAGCCGAGATTGAGTAACAAAGTCCCAACTCCGACGAGGATTCCCAATCGCTTTCGCCGTCTGTATCGTCTTCATCTCTCAACACATTCCCCTATCACCACTATCATGAAGCTAATCACGATCAGATCAGATGGTAGGATCGGAGCCCTACTCATCACCAACCCTTGATCATGGAGGAAAGGCCATCCGATGAGTTTCCGGAGCGTACCCAGCACCCGATACGGAGATGGTGGATTGGATCAAGTCGACCTCAACTGTTACAAAGAAGGGAGATATAGATGAATATGCGCACCTCATATGGTCCCGGTGTCTAGGCTTCGCCTGGCTGGGCCTGCAGGTTTTTTGAGACTTTTTCCCGCGCACGCAGTTTCCATTGCTACCATTTTTTATTTTTTTTGGGTAGAAGGTTCCGTGGAAAAGGTGGCTGAATTCCACGGGGAAACACTGAGCTGAATGGCTATTCATCAAGGGCAATATATCAATGATCTTTCAAGTAACAAAAGAGGATAGGAGCACTGTACAAGGTGTGGCATGGGTCAGAGAGGAGCTGTGGGAACTCGAGGGACAAAAGACGATTGGCGAGTGGTCAAAAGCTGGCGTGGACTCAAATCATAAGATTCTAAACTAAAGAGAAAAGTATCTAGGAGGATATGAATCTGTATATATTTACATAAGAGTTCAACTGTTGAAATAGAGTTGCCAACACGAAACCTCTGTCCCTCATTGCCTGCAACCCAAGGGTTTTGCATGAAAACTAATATCCATGACAAACCTTTCGTATCGTGATTTGTCACACACAAGACTCGTGTGTGTGAAACTAGTCGTTGGAATTCCTGGATTGACCCTGTGTCGGCTTACCAACTATTGAACTGACGGCTATGTGGCCACTGAAATTTCGGGGCGTCACAGGAGCCCCATGTGCCAGATAGTCATAGACTCAAGTAGTACAATAAAACACACACACACAATTTTTTGAAATTCGAATATTCGAATATTCACCCTTTCCCCCTCTCCCTCCCTCTCTCGATATCGTACGTCCTTAATTCAAAATTTGTGAGCGACTGGCAGGCTACCAATATGCCCCCAGTTCGCAGTAAGCCATCGCGGGCGAAAAACATCGTAGATAACCGCAAGCACCTCAAACACGTTGCTCGACAGAAAGCAAGCGTCAAGTTGGGCCCACTAACTGCCGTTCAAGAGATGAACATCGACCAATTAATCGACAAAAGTACCACAGATTGCGACATGATAGATGTTGGCAACTTTGACATTGACAAGATTCTTAAGAATCTGAAAAGACTACCTAACTCAATTCACTCCAAGCCAGATGCGACCGGAGCTGAAAATGCAGCGACGAGTCGCAACAATTTCGGGACAGCGGCTACCGGACAGCATATACTTCCTCTCATTGAAGTCGCTGTGCCAGCTATGAGGCGGGCTGCGATTACAGATGCTAACAAGTCAAAAGGTGCAGCATCTACCCCAAACCCCCTGGAACATACACCAGGAACCACAGAAGAGAATCCTTCTCCTCACAGTGGAAATGAAGGCAGGCAAACGGAGGAATGCCCCCCCGAACTCAGAGCCTTGATTGAGGCTGAGGAACGCCGGGCCGCAAAAACTGCGGAAAATGTAAAAATTTGCACCGCTGCAATAAACGGTGTCGAGAATGCTCTGTCCCTCCTATCCAAAGGGTCGAGTGTTCAATTTATAGACTCTATGAAAGTCTACATTAGAGCTGCAATAGCTCAATTTATGATCGCGGGACCAGGTACAGTCCTCCCATCACTTCCCCCACGCCCCGAAAGCCAGGCTACTGGCAGCAAGATTATAGAACGTGCTGCCAAAAAGCAGGATGAGCCACAAAGTAAAGTGACTCATGACAAA